TACGTATTCAGATAACGACATGAATGGGGATTCCGGTGGAATCACCTCGTCCGGTAGGGAGCATCATGTTCTGCGGGTGATACCCGACCGTCATCCAGCTACTGTAGAAAAAGTAAATGGTAGAAACATCATGAACATTGGTACATGGAATGTCAGAACACTCGTACAAAACGGAAAGCTGGATAACATCAAGAGAGAAATGAAGAGAATGAACATCAACATATTAGGAATTAGTGAAATGCGATGGCCAGGAGCAGGGAAAAAGTATTCAGATCAGCACATAATTATTTACTCGGGTGGGAAGGAATATAGTAAAGGGGTTGGTATTATTTTGGATTCAAAGAACTCAAAAAACTGTTAAAGGATTTTGGACAATATCAGATAGAGTACTATTAGTAAAACTTCGCGGCAGACCGTTTGACATCAACTTATTACATATTTATGCCCCAACTGCAGATAGTTCAGAGGAGTGAGTGTGAGTGACTTTCTACCCCACTAGGACATCACACAAGCGATAAACACCCGATGACACAATGTGCCACCGTGCGGGTGAGGATCACCGTGGAGAGGTCCCAGAAACCGCGTTCAGACATTTGGCCATTTTAATGGCCTGCCTATATTGCGGCCCCTGGCAAAAGCCAGAGTGGGGCTTCAAATAAGAAAAAATTACGTCCTGAAAAGGACGTAAGGACTTCAAGCTATAGTATAGCGACATATATAATTCAGTTCAGAGGAAGATATTGACGCATTTTATGACGAGTTAGACATGGCTGTTGATCAATGCAAAAATTGTGAAGTAACAATGGTACTTGGAGATTTCAACGCGAAAGTAGGAAGTGAAAAAGTGGAGGGAATAACAGGTGACTATGGCCTAGGAGAAAAGAATGTGAGAGGTGACAGATTAATAGCATGGGCTGAGTCGCGCAGCATGATAATAGGTAACACCTGGTTTAAACACCATCCTCGAAGATTGTGGACTTGGAAAAGTCCTGGTGATAATGTCCGCAATCAGATTGATTATATTTTGATTTCAAGAAGATTCAGGAGCAGCTTAGTTGGAGCAAAAACTAGACCAGGGGCAGACTGCTTTAGTGACTATGTTCCAGTTGTAGGAAAAATTAGCAGCATTGGATGTCTGAAATCAAAAGATGGTAACTTATTAATGGGACATAGTAATATAATTAACAGATGGACAGAGTAAATAGGGGAATCGTATGATGATAATAGACCAGACGTAGAACTGCAGACCAACAATGATGGTCCACCAATAATGACTGCAGAGGTTGAGGATGCAATACATCATATGAAGAAAGGAAAAGCACCCGGGCCAGACAACATCTCACTGGAAGAAATCGAAGCACTGGGAAATTTTGGAATTGAAATAATAACTAAACTTTTAAAGGATATTTATAATAGTGGGTATATTCCAAATGACCTTTTAAAATCCATATTTATAGCTCTGCCAAAGAAACCAGACACTTTAAAATGTGAAGACCATCGCACAATCAGTCTTATGAGTCACATGACTAAGATTTTACTGAGAATAATTATGAGAAGAATAAGAAACAAAATTAAACCAGAAATCAAATCAGCGATAAACAATGTGGATTTGTAGAAGGAAAAGGTACAAACAATGACATTTACATCTTAAGGACATTGTCAGAAAGAGCTATAGAAGTAAAGACTGATTTGTACTTATGCTTCATAGACTATACAAAAGCATTTGACTGTGTGAAGCATGAAGAAGTAATCAAACTGTTAGAAAAATTAAACATTGATGGGAAAGATCTACGAATAATAAAGAATATGTATTGGCAGCAAACAGCAGCTATAGGAATAAACAACTGTTTAGGTACATTTCCAAGCATAAAGAGAGGCGTGCGACAAGGATGTGTACTTTACCTGATTTGTTTTCAGTATACAGTGAATATATAATGAGATCTTTAATTGATATGCCCGGAATTGTGGTTGGTGGGCACAATATAAACAATTTACGTTATGCTGATGACACAGTCTTGATAGCAACAAGTCAGAAAGAATTACATGAAATGATAGACATTGTGGTGTTAGAAAGTGGAAGAATGGGCCTCAGTTTGAATAATGGGAAGACATAAGTAATGGTGGTATCAAAGAAACAAATTATTCCTAAATGTGTAATACAAGTCAATGATGTTATTTTAGGACAAGTACAGAAATTCAAGTATCTGGGCACATGGATAACATCAGATGGAAGATGCATAACTGAAATAAGAAACAGAATTGGACAGGCAAAAACTGCATTTTATAAAATGAAAAACATCTTGTGCAATATATCCTTGTCATTGAGAGTAAGGAAAAGAATTCTTGCTTGCTACATACATCCAGTTTTAACATATGGATGTGAATCCTGGGCAATCGGTAGGCAGGCTAAACAATTTTTAGAGGCCTCAGAGATGTGGTTTTACAGAAGAATGCTTAGAATACCTTGGACAGCCAAAAAGAGCAACCAAGAGGTGTTGAAAGAGGCGGGAGCCCGAAGACAACTTGTCACAGACATCAGAAGGAGACAGTCATCATTTTTCGGCCATGTTATGAGAAGAGGGAAAATAGAACATGTTGTGACCACTGGAAAGATCTGTGGAAGGGGGGATAGAGGAAGACAACGAGAGAAGATGCTTGACAGTCTTGTTGCATGGCATGGAGGTGTGTCGGCACACGAACTGATACATTCTGCAGGAGATCGCAGATTGTGGAGAGGCATGATAGCCCACGCCAGTCGGCAGGACACCTGATGGTGATAATATATTTAGGACCAGTAGTGTTTAAGTATTATTTTATACGTTTTATCTATTTGGTAACAGGGCTGCCAATACTTGGGTCCCTCCCCAAGATCTGGGTTTTTAAATGACTACTTGGGTTTAGATTTAGGGATCTTGGGATTTTTAAAAAGTATCCTTGTATAAACTTTGGTAAATGTTTCGTTTTGTAACTATAAAATGCTTACTTTTTATCAATCTAAAGTTTTTATTTTTACTCTTTGCTTATGTATTGCCCAACACATTTGCTAGCATTCTAGAACCATTGTTCGAGGATATTTGGGGAAAAGAAGTGTTGCCTGATGACTGGACTGAAGGAACAATAGTCAAAATCCCCAAAAAAAGGAGACTTTACAGACTGCAATAATTGGAGGGGAATTACTCTACTCTCAGTACCAAGCAAAATATTTTGTAAAATCATCATAATGCGACTTGAAAAAGGAGTAGATAAATGCCTACGAGTGGAACAAGCAGGATTCAGAAAGGGCAGAGGAACAACTGAGCACATCTTCGCCATACGGAACATTTTAGAACAATGCAACGAATGGCAGAGAAGTATATATATTAATTTTGTGGACTTTGAGAAAGCTTTTGACAGCGTCCATAGAGACGGTCTGTGGACAATTTTACGACATTATGGAATTCCAGAAAAAATAGTCAACATAATTGCTCTTTTCTATAAAGACTTTTCCTGCAGTATAAAAAATACATCTTTCCCAGTAAAGACGGGTGTAAGACAGGGATGTGTTATGTCATCTCTCCTCTTCAACCTTGTGATTGATTGGATACTAAAGAACACAGTTAGTTAGTTAGTTAGTTAGTTAGTTAGTTAGTTAGTTAGTTAGTTAGTTAGTTAGTTAGTTAGTTAGTTAGTTAGTTAGTTAGTTAGTTAGTTAGTTAGTTAGTCTTTCCTTTTGTGTCGAGTGCGGCACATAGGGCAGAGGTCATGACTTTCCATACATGGCGGTTCGTTGCAATCTGTTGTAGGTCTTGGATGTTTGAGTGGCCCATGAGCGAGCCTTCCCTGATGATAGTTCTACGTAGGGTTTCCCTTGGTCTTCCACGAGATCTTTCCCCCTGTGGTGTCCAAATGAGGGCTTGGTAAGGAAGTCTTGATTTATCCATTCTAAGGGCGTGGCCGACATAGTTTCAGCGGCGTTTTTGTATAAAATTAGACACATACTCTTGCCTGGATTCTTGCCTTTTTTGTGTATTGGTTCGGAAATCTGACCATTTGAAATTTAGTAAAGAACACAGTAGACAGGACATTAAGAGGCATACGATGGACTCCATTCACCATGCTTGAGGACCTTGATTTTGCAGATGATATAGCACTCATATCACATAAACAAGAACATATACAAGAGAAAAGTAACCGACTAAACTGCACAGCAGAAATGGTGGGACTGAGAATAAATACAAAGAAAACTAAGATCATGACAAACTGTCCAAACCAACAACCAGTGACCATAAGTAACCAATCACTTGAAAATGTAGAACATTTCACGTATCTTGTCAGTGTGGTGTCCCTACTGGGAGGGACAGAGGAAGACATACAGTCACGTGTGAACAAAGCTAGAGCTGCTTTTGGAAGGATGAGGCAAATCTGGAAATCCAACAATTACTGCAAAGGAACGAAACTCCGACTCTACAAGAGCATCATTTTGCCAGTTCTTCTCTATGGAGCGGAATGCTGGAGAATGACCAAAAAGGATGCACACAAGCTGTCCACCTTCCACCACACATGTCTACGTAGAATTATCAAAATTTTCTGGCCAGATACAATCTCAAACACTAAACTATTTCAAACCACAAACCGAGAAACTTTAGACAGTATGATTACCAAGAGAAGATGGAAATGGCTTGGCCACGTTATGAGAATGACTTCTGATATACCTGCCAAAACAGCTCTCACGTGGACACCAGAGGGAAAGAGAAAACAGGGGCGCCCAAAAACAACATGGAGACGAACGATGGAAAGTGACCTGAGTGCGGCATCTTTGACATGGAAAACTGCATTGAAGATTGCACAGGACAGGAAAGCATGGAAAGTCCTCCCTGAAGCCTTATGTGCCACTAGGCATAACGAGAATTGATGATGATGATGATGTATTGCTTGGGTTTTCTGGTTAGCTTTGCTTGGGTTTTGATAAAAAAAATCCCTTTGGCAGCCCTGGTTGGTGACGTTAAAACGTAGCTAGAAAAATGGCTTCCACAAGAATGGGGAGTACAAATGCAGTGTCCATTGATATTGATACTACACCAGCCATTGGTGGTGTGAGTAGTGTAAAAACAATAGACAGCCAGCAGGAGGGGTCGGGAAAGTATATCATCACAAATGATGAGTTCAAGTTTATTTCTGCGGGCAATAGTGCAGGTTAGAATAGAAGACTTAGACACAAGTCAAGTAATTTAATTTTAATTGTGGCACTCCTTCGAACCGCGATCCTGGTTTAGACGACCGATCAACATCATGGTACAAGGGTAGTATTACTAGTAACCCACAAGTGCTGCGTTCTACTTCTGACTCAAGCCTAGTCCAAAGTATCTCTGCGCAGTGCACGAACTCCGTAGCACCGGCAAGGATCCTGAAATACTTTCGGTGGATTTTTAAACTCAAAATTTTGCTCGGGCAGCCCCGTTATCGTTATGCTACGATTTTCGATTTCCAACTGCCAAGGGATTTATTTTACGTGTGCAACACTTACACACGGGCGTCTGATCTTACTACATAGAGGTTATAGATTAGTTGCGTTTCCTTTACAGGACGTTGCAGAACCAACCCCATTTTGGTTTTTCTAGGCAAATTTACGTCCAATAGTTTGCCTTTGCTTTTTTGGACGGTCGGCTTTCTTGATACCACTGTCAGAGCCGGCGCATGGCCCGCAGCTGGGATCAAACCCGGCATTACAAAGCGTTCGCATCGACTTAGCCACAGAGCCGACACTACATAGAGACCAGGGTAAATTGATAGAAGTCAGGGTTAAAAAATCCCAGCTTTCACCAGGGTTTGAACCAAAGACCTCCAGCACTCGAGGCAAACGGCATGCCCCGAGACTACGCCTAATATTGCTTCAAGTTAGGGTTAGCCTAATCTCGAACAATATTAAATGAAAGGGCTATCCTCCGAATAACGGTCATAAATTATCGAGGCGGAAAATATACCCTAACAGAGCCTCAGTCACATGTCAATTGAGCACTGCCGACGTCTTATGCCATCGCCGAATAGTGAACTTTCGGCAACTTCCGCCACCGCCGAGAGTGTCCCCCACGTCGCTCACGCAGTGTGGATTGGGGCTAAACTAGATGGCTAGGACTCACGAGCAGCAGTTACCGCATCTCCTGCAGATTCCTTCATTTTATTTGTTTGTGAGTCCTAGCCATCTAGTTTAGCCCCAATCCACGCAGCGTGGGGGACACTATCGGCGGTGGCGGAAGTTGCTGGATGTTCGCAATTCGGCAGTGGCGTTAATAGTCCCCGGAAGTGCGCAATTGACACGTGACTGAGGCCCTGTTAGGGTATATTTTCTGCCTCGGTAATTTACGACCGTTATTCGGAGGATAGCCAATGAAAGAATTTTATTTCAAATATTATTGTGTAAACACACACATAAAGAATGTGTTACATCCCTACAGTCTGTAGTTAAAGTAATGTCAAGTTACGATAGATTGCCATTCGAAGGAGTGCCGAAATTTTAATAAAAAATTTATAATTAATATTTGATTCATAAATGAATATTGAAAGCAGATTAAACACTTTTTTTTTAAAAACTAGGTACTCCTGCTAAATTTTCATGATTTTAAAGTAATGCAACTAGCATAGTTAGATAGGTATTGACAAATTGTCACTCCTTTAAACACAAACACTATGGGAACGCAATCTACTGTTTGTTTAAAGCGACCATAAAGAAGACAAACTATTGTTTGTGTATGTTCACATAATGGTGTTACGTAATATTTAATATTGCTTCAGGTTAGAGTTAGAAATGTTGAATTAAGAATCAACATCACAGCTCTTGACACACACCCATATGCGCTCAATCCCCATCTTCAACAGTAGGCGAAGAGTTTTAGTTCCAGTGGTACCAGTAACTGTCTCATTGTAAATCCATCTCACCCTTTCCTTGAGCATTCAGTGTCGGCCAGATCCCCTGGTAACTCCCCACAGTACCATTCTCCTCACCCCACTTGTCTTCACAGCATTACAGTCATCACCCCACTTGTCTTCACAGCATTACAGTCTTCACCCCACTTGTCTTCACAGCATTACAGACTTCACCCCACTTGTCTTCACAGCATTACAGTCTTCACCCCACTTGTCTTCACAGCATTACAGTCTTCACCCCACTTGTCTTTACAGCATTACAGTCTTCACCCCACTTGTCTTCACAGCATTACAGACTTCACCCCACTTGTCTTCACAGCATTACAGTCTTCACCCCACTTGTCTTCACAGCATTACAGACTTCACCCCCTTGTTAGCAATATTTCTGTTACTTGTGTCATCACATTGAAGGGAGACTTGTCCATGTTTGCAATCTATCCCAACTCAGACTGATGCGTCTTCTGACATTGAATGACAGAATGATGAAGTTCAAAGACCTTCTGCTGATATCTTGCAGGCATCTTTTGGGCAAGTCTGGTGCATATACACATGCTTAGTTAATTTCTGTTCATGACCCTGTGTCCTTCTTTGAAATCAGTAACTTATTTTCCCCAGTAATTTTTCTCACCTCATGTCAGACACAGGTATTCTAACTGCTCTTTGCTCTTCAATCCATATCTTCAGTACTCTCTCCAAATCAAATTTTTCTGACTTGCATCTCATGGCCTTTTTCTGTGCCATCTTCAGTAGGCTTTCTTCTTTCCGAAGCCAGTCTTGGGTTATTTCCTTAGTTGGAGGAGGACCACATTTACATTTTGCAGCACGATTTCCATTCACTTTTGCAAATGGATCACTTTTTACTTGATTTCAGCACTCTATGAAAATCTTTTCTGAGGCCTTTATGGGCAAAACATTACCTAACGAAGACAAGCGCAACAATTATTACTATGAGAAAGAACTTTAAATTTTATAATTTTTCCCTCATTTTGTGTCACCCCTGAACAGGCAAATGAGGCCCTTTACGGAATATTTTCTAACAAATTATTTAGTAAAAATCTACTTCCTTTGTATGAGACGCCCTGTTTTTAGACCCTATAATATTTTTAAAAATAAGTGTCTTATACTTGAGAAATACGGTGGATTTCCTTATTGATAGTGAAGAGATGTATGATAATTCCACTCTCTACATTTCTGTAATTTTTGTTTGTTTTAGCAAGGAAGTCAACACTCATAAATTGTGTCATAATTACCCAAAGAAACCTATCTGAAGTTAACATTATAAAACTGTCACAAAATACATGAAATTTATACTGAAAACAAATGTTTTCTTTGTTGTTCTGTAATTTTTAGTGTCTGAATGTAATTGCATTGCATCATTTTCCTCAGAGCTGTTATAATATTTGCATTTCACAACTGACACATTCTTTGGGCATTTGTTGACTAGGTTAGCCTTTCCAGAAAAAAAAAGTAATATAATTTAATATTTAATGACAGATTAATTAGTCAGTAGTTTAAAGGAGTGATTAGGAGTGAGTTGTTTACAGTTATCAGAAAAAACAGGATGAAAATATCTGGCTGTAACTCACGACTCACCCTGTTTATTTAATGATGTAATTCTGTAAATCCAGTGTATGTAAAACACAAAACAGTTACTTCATTAAATCTTTCAGTACCAATAAACTCACCATATATTTCTTGTTTAATTAGGAATCGACATCACAGCACTCTGGACATTCCCATAAATGCTCTGTCTCCAAACGCAGAGTTCCATTTCCAGTGGTACTAACAGCAACTGATTGTATGTCCATCTCACCTTTCTCTTAAGTGTTGATTGTCCACCAGATACTCTGGTCACTCCTAACAGTACCATTCTCCATCTGTGCTTCTGCACTCTTCACTCCCCCCAAAGGGCCCTTACAACATTTAGCTTGTCATGCATCAATTCACCACCAAGTTGTGCAGAACCAACCAGTCTATCTACATGTTCATTTTCTAATACACCAAAATATCCTGGGTAAAAATATCCAAACAAGGCTAACCCCTGAAGTGATGCTTGACGCTCTTCACAGAGCATACTACCTTCACCATATTTTTTAGCAGCTATAAATATGGTATACATTAATTTCCTCTGCCCCATTCTTATTTTGTCAACCCGTTCTTTTCAAATATATTGTTTGCCATGTGTTTACTATAAATGCTTGGCATATTTCGCTGTATCTCGTCAGGTGCATACTACAGTAACAGTTGATTAAAACGAACACCAGTGAAAGAACCAGTGTCGAGGTGCACCAAATGTAATTGTATTTACCAGAATAAATGCACCTGTAATGCTGCATATGTGGGCAGAACGGATCGACAACTGGAGAAACGGGTTGCTGAACGTATTACATATGGGTGGTAAAGGCAGTGCAAAACACCAACAGCATCTTAACAACAACGAATAAGGTGACTGGTTGTAAAAATCCACTATCAGCAATAGCATGCCATCTTCTAAAATCTGGGCACATGGTAAACAAGGACAATGCATTTTGAATTATTTTACTTCGGCCATCCGTAGATTTTATATATGCAGAAGCGTCAGTGATCAGCCAGTTTAATTCAGAATTATACTGACAGAAGAAAATGCTCGTCACTTTGTGGTTACCTTGGTGAAACAGTGTTTGAATGTAGTCGATTTTGTGTTTCATTTTAAAGGTTTCATTTATATGCTTCATTTTAATCAATTGTTACTATAGTATGCACCTGACGAGATACAGCAAAATATGCCAGACCATAAATTAGGCAATCTATTGTTTGTGTCTTTTTTAGTCAGATCACAGCGGGGAAAATTTGCTTTGTTACATGTTTGTTTCTTAGTATTGGTGCCATTTGTCCAATAAGTTGGTTTGATTTGTTACACCTGTCATCTTTCTTATCTTCTTTTTTGACAGTTGATGATATTATGCTTCCTAAATAATTGAAATTCTTGGTTTGTTTCAGAGGGTATTTTGTAAGCTGGATATTTATTGTTTTATCTACTTTGGCTATGGTTTTGTTGGCGTTAATTTTCAAGTTTTGCTGTTTGCAAATTTGGTTTAAATAATTTATATACAGTGCAGTATTTAGCTAGCAAATTTGGTGTAAATAATTTATATACATTTCAGTATTTGGCAAGATATAAATTGTTGGTTGACATAATGACATAAAGTAAACAATTATATTTTTACACTTTTTTTTTTTTAATATTACAAACATTAATTGGTAGTCATTAGCTCAGAATAACTAAAATTACAGCAGTAATTTGACCGTTATTGTTCTTGCAAGCTGAGATTCTTCAGACTCAGGCTTGGGTTAGAAGTAGAACGGAGCACTTGTGGGCTGCATTCGGGTGCCATGATGTTGCTCTATTAAATAAACATAAACATAGCGCTCTGTCACCATCTTCAGCAGCAAGCAAAGAGTTCCTATTCAGATAGTACCAGTAACTGTCTGACTGTAAATCTGTCTCGCCTTCCCTTGAGTGTTGAACATCGGCCAGATCCCCTTGGTACCTCCCCACAGCGCAATTCTCCTCAGACCTTAATTATTTAGTTGTGCTTCCTCGCTGTTCACTCGCTGCCAAATGCCCCTCACAACATCTAGCTTGTCATACATCAATTCACCACCAGGTGGTGCAGAATCAGCCAGTCTTATCTACCTGCTCATTTTCCAACACACATTTCCCAATGACCTGGAGAAAATATCCAGAGGATGCTAACTACCCGGGATCTCTGAAGTGATCCTTGCCACTCTGCACACAGCATGCCTGTCTCCACCTTTCTCAGCATGCTCTGTGAGTCAGTTACAATTAAGGCATGTGTGTACAGCTGAAATCTCAAGCTAACAGAAGGTAGCATTGACTGCCTCCACCTCCATTCTCAAACTAGACATTGTGGTATCATATGCCAGACTTTGTTGCACTAAGCGACATCCGTTTTCTTTTGATTTGAACACCCATGCGCTTTGTGTACCCCTCAGTACAGAGCCATCTGTTTAGATAATCACATCACCTGGGCGAGAATTGTCATGATTGATTTGTTGAACTTCTCATTCTGCAGCACCAGCTGGCCAGTCCCTGCACTCATGACCTAAAGTGATAAAATCCCTACACAAATCTGAAACTTGCTTGGACACATTGACCCACTCCTTTCCTCGACCAAATTTATCAAGCCTGCACACATGTCTGTGTCTTCAGCTTGCGCCATCCAATAGCTTCCTCTTTTCATCTACGACCCTTCCTCCGAAGTCGAAGTACATCTGCCGGAGAGGCGGGGAACGAGAACTGCGAACAAATAAGCCAGTAAAACGGATGTACACGCAAAACTCAGGTCAAGGTAAAAGCCAAAAGTCCATTTTGGACGAACAACCGCGACTTACCGCCGGAATTCACAGCCGGTGAACAAGAAGAAGAAGAAGAAGAATCTACGACCCTTAGCTCTACCCAGGGCTTCATGCAGCAGGAGCTTCTTGTCTGCAGCTACTCTGAGATATAGCTTTGCTTGCAGAACATTTAGCCTATCTGCGAAAGTAGGTAGTGCAAGTATCTATCGTATATTACCGGGGTATCTTTTATTCACCTCAGAATTACCCGCAAAGCTTCATTCTATATGCGTACAAGTTTTACCAGCTGATTCTTTTTATATAGTAAGCATTTCAAGTCCATAATCTGTCACCGACAGGATCACATGCTGGAACAATGTGAACAGCATTTTTTTTGTTCTATTGAGACCATTTTGGCATTTCACCGCAAGTACCTCCACAAACGGACAGCCCCAAACGGAAAATGGACTGGAAACGTTAAAGGACGACGAGACAGAAAAATGAAAGAATATAGACATTAGAAACACTGTCAAAACTACGCCATGTTTAGACTACATAGAACATCAAAGAATGAAATGGTTTGGACATCTAACCAGGATGAAAAATGATCAAATAACATCACAAATTTTCAACCAAAGAAGCTCAGGATATAAGGCAAGAGGAAGACCAAGGAAACGGTGGATTGACGGGGTCTCCGAAACCTGCCAAAAGCATGGCCTCAGAACATCAGATGCTGCCCGCCTTGCTTATGACAGGAACTTGCATCTCCCCACAACGCTTAGCGGCATACGTGGAAGGAAAAACTAAACTAAACCTCCACATGATCCCTAAAAGACAGGCTTCTATAAAAAATGATACCCAGGTACAGTTTGCTTTCTGTTATGAGGTTACTGTTATTAATTGTAAGTCTTGGAACATCAGCTCTTAGAATAGAGAGCACCACAAAACAGCCACCTATTCTGAGTTGATGACAGCACCCAACTCTGCCAAGAATTAATAAAAAATGATGTATGTTCAGAGGGCACATTATACTATTGATTGTAGGCGTTAAAATAATGCAAAGACAAGAAAAATATCATTCATATAATATACTGAAATTGTCTTCTTTCTTATGATTGCTAGATAATTATGACATCACAGGATCAGTCAGTTCGAGTATTACAGCTGCTCCAGGAGACGGATTTAACATTAGGAAAAGAGGCATAACATCTTCTATGCTTGAAGCCAAAGGATTTGGGTGGTTGCTAGAAGAGGAAGATGTGGAGGAAGAAGACCAAAGACCTCTGCTGTAAGTATATATTTTATATTTTAGTAAATAAATCTGAATGTTAATAAATGTAGCTCAAGGATATCTCCATACAGTGAAGCTTGGTTACAGTGAGTCACTTGCTCTTGTGGTACACTCACACAGTGAAGCTTGGTTACAGTGAGTCACTTGCTCTTGTGGTACACTCACACAGTGAAGCTTGGTTACAGTGAGTCAGCTCTTGTGGTACACTCATGAGTGAAGCTTGCTGAGTCACTTGTGGGTACACTCACACAGGGAAGCTTGGTTACAGTGAGTCACTTGCTCTTGTGGTACACCCACACAGTGAAGCTTGGTTACAGTGAGTCACTTGCTCTTGTGGTACACTCACACAGGGAAGCTTGGTTACAGTGAGTCACTTGCTCTTGTGGTACACTCACACAGTGAAGCTTGGTTACAGTGAGTCACTTGCTCTTGTGGTACACTCACACAGTGAAGCTTGGTTACAGTGAGTCACTTGCTCTTGTGGTACACCCACACAGTGAAGCTTGGTTACAGTGAGTCACTTGCTCTTGTGGTACACTCACACAGTGAAGCTTGGTTACAGTGAGTCACTTGCTCTTGTGGTACACTCACACAGTGAAGCTTGGTTACAGTGAGTCACTTGCTCTTGTGGTACACTCACACAGTGAAGCTTGGTTACAGTGAGTTACTTGCTCTTGTGGTACACTCACACAGTGAAGCTTGGTTACAGTGAGTCACTTGCTCTTGTGGTACACTCACACAGTGAAGCTTGGTTACAGTGAGTCACTTGCTCTTGTGGTACACTCACACAGGGAAGCTTGGTTACAGTGAGTCACTTGCTCTTGTGGTACACGCACACAGTGAAGCTTGGTTACAGTGAGTCACTTGCTCTTGTGGTACACTCAGACAGTGAAGCTTGGTTACAGTGAGTCACTTGCTCTTGTGGTACACTCACAAGGATTATTTATCCATCTCTTGATATTCTGTGATTTCAACATTGCCTACCTACTCAATTTTTCCATAGCCACAGAGATTAGAAAGGAAATTTGCTGCTTGATGAAATCAAAATGTGGACTGAATATGTAAGAGAATTGAAGAATAAAAGATTAGTTGCATTAATCCAATATTTGCTAGCAACAAAAACCTTAGAAGTCAGAAGTAGAGAAAACTCCTAACTTCTATGAAAGGCAGAAAAGCATTTAGCAGTTGCTGCTGCAGAATGCTTTTTTTTTTTGAAATAGAAGAAAATGTAATCGGTGGGCACTCAACATATCAAGGAGAGATGTATAATCAGAAAGAAAATGGTATTATCAGCACTAGATTTCATTAGGAAACAACAGAATTGGTTCGACCATCTAACTTGACTGCCAACAGACAGGAAACCTCTATGAGCAATAATGTGCAGAGGAAGCATAAATAGGCCACCCATACAAATGATCAAAAGAGGGAGTAAGAGAGTCCCTGAGGACGCCTTATATGATGCACACAAATGGGCAATTTCCCACTGTATATAATTTACCTTACAGAGGGTACATGATGTATGATATGAGATGAAAAATAGTGTTTCAACAAAAAGTCATGAGAGTTAAGCAAATTGTTCTTTAAACATATGTGCGTGCATACGAACACATTCTCTCACTCACACAAACACAAGTGACTATTGCTTTAAGTCCCAGGTCTGGAATAGATATCTGTAATCATGACTCTGTTTCTATCTGTCAGTTGATATTTTTATGAAGTTGGTGTTGCCTATATTATTGTTACCTTGCATTTCAAGCTTTCATGGGTTGTAGAAGACATTGAAATGGGAACAGTCCATTAACCACAGATTAGAGCTTCATAGATTGAAGATTCCCCCCCTCCCCCCCCCCCCCCCCCCCCCCACCGGGGAAAAAGGGGTGAAAACATTGCAGTTTTCGTGCTGTGACTAGGATGTCAATAATAGTATAGGAGGAAGCTAAATTATATTATTGTTGCAGTCTTTTGCACACTAATTCATTATTATTTGAACAAAGAAGACAAAACAACAGATTGCACAATTTATTGCCTGGCATATTTCATAGTATCTCATCAGGTTCCTACTTACTACATTAACAATTAAATAAGATAAAACAACTAAGTGAATCGTTATGACTAAAATTAAACCCAAAAAATGTTATATATCCGCTGCTCTCTTTTGGAATATTACAAGGTGAGGCTCCAATCTCTTCCAGAGTGTGACTCTCATCCCAATGTCCGAAGGCACTGAGACCCACAATTCACCTTAAATTATCATTGCCTGTTTTACAAGGACAAAGACAAGTTCACAACTATGTTTTTTATCTACAAATTTTCCTAATTGTTTATCCATTCTTCCCACATTTGCAGCTTCAGATTTACAATGAAATTGCAAAATACAGCTTGATTTTATGTGCAGTGACAGTGGTTCTTTTGCTTACGGAGTTGGCATGGGGTTAGTTTTAAATCTAACAACTGGCATAGCAGCGTAGATGCAGCAGTCTTATAGCTGTTACCTAATGACATCTCCTTTAAAAAAATGTTAGCTGCATATATAGGCTGAACAAATCAGCAGTTTGGAAAATGTGTAGCTGAGCATATTGCTCTTTGGCCAGAGAAAGCAGTGCATACTGAATTTAAATCCTCTTCTTCTTCACTTTTTCTTTTATTGCTTTGGTGTTGAGGAAGATACAAGGTTCTGCTTTTTGTTCTTTTGGTCCCTTAACCATAGACACATTGTGCTGTCTTAGAATTTTCTCTGGTGATCTTTTCTTCTTAACGCTCACCAACTGTAAACTGTGGCAGAAAGTTCTGATTGTTCATCCGCTTATGAAATGTTCCAGTACTCGAGTTTTGCTTGCACATGTTTACAGATCTGGCTTATTTATGTGCTCTGTTGGTACCTCACTTCTCAGGCAGATGAACTCTGACTTTGTAGGAAACAAACATAATTAGTCGTCTATTATGACATGCCTGCTGGAGGGGGAGGGGGGCAGTTTGTCTATTCATTTTCTTCTCAAAAAAGGAGCACTGGAACCCTTACAGAGATATTTTTCATCCTATTCTTGCTTGATCTGCCTCTTGCTTTATGTTCCTCTCCTCTTTTGGTGTATGGTATAGCATCACAAGACATTCTCTCTAAGTGGGCAAACAATTTTACTTCCTGTCTTTGTATGTAATTTAGAATTGATGAATATTTATACTCACAAAAATTAAGCAACAAAGCTTTGAAGCAAGTGGACTGCAAATCAGGGACATCATGCTCTGTGATGAATGCAGATTTCATTGGGAGTTTAGTGGCGCGGTGATTTATGTCACTGGCGTGAGGGGAAGTTAAGTCCAACATGATGTGTATAAGGAGATACTCCGTACGTCACTCGGGCGGCAGTCGTTTACTATCCTGGTTGTACGGAACCTCACGCAAGACCCCTACAGCACGTCCTCGTCGTGCGCCACGGATAATGTCTCAAATGAGCATTAACAGAGCTGTCAGGGGATCTCGGAGTTCGGCGGCCCCCAGAGGTGATGTGTCCTTGTGGCTCTCATCAGCCCGCCCCATTGAAAAATGTTATCAAAACTCATTAGGAACATGAGTAGGTTTGCCAAACATACAGCCAAAATTACAATCCTTGGTTAAAAGACTGCGGAGTAAAGAGAACATTGTTCACTGCACATCCTCTGTTAACCCTCAGTGTCGTCGTCACCGCGCTGAGGTACACCACAACAGCAACCATCCAAAGGCTGGCCATCCTTGTACATCCTCGGTTAACCCTCAGTGTCGTCGTCACCGCGCTGAGGTACACCACAAACAGCAACCATCCATAGGCTGGCCATTCATGTACATCCTCGGCGTTAACCCTCATAGTGTCGTCATCACCGCGCTGAGGTACACCACAACAGCAACCATCCATAGGCTGGCCATTCATGTACATCCTCGGTTACACCCTCAGTGTCGTCGTCACCGTCACCGCGCTGAGGTACACCACAAACAGCAACCAACCATCGGATGGCTAAGCCTAAATTGTCCGACAAAACTAGATCATACGGATCAAAATCTGACCATCAAAATATGTATTGAACTGAAAAAGACCGAATGTCCACACCCAAAGACCCCACTCGCCCGAGTGTTGGGACAAAACTGATAACGATATGCCTGATGCAGGATGTAAAATTCTGTCGGGCTAACGGCTCGTCAAAGAAATCTAACGTGCGAGGAAGAAAAAAAAAAGAATGTACCTATCTGTGTGGTCACAAAAGTCCAAAACCCACGGGCTGCTCCCCGCTGACTTCCAGAGGGCACAGCCCCTGTTGAGCGGGAGGCCTGATACGGTTGTGAGGTTAAGCAGGCATGTGCAGGACGTGACGATTCCTTGGGTGAGCCCAGAACCAGAGCGCCATGTGCCGGCTCTGCATGCATGGAAGCCTCCTTGGATGGCGGGGAATGCCCATGATCTGCCCCTGCCTTCCCTTGAGGGCTAACTGTTCCACAGGGGGCTGCCCCAAAGGGGTACTCCGAGGGCAATACCTGCGACGAAGGAGACAAAGTGGACACCACACAAATCAGGCAACGTCTCGACCCACACAAAACAATGGCCACAGTCAACCTAGAAATAGGCCTGACGTCTTCCTTCGAAGTCGGAGTACAGCTGCCCACGAGGCAGGGAAATGAAAAACGGTTGTACACACAAAAATCAGGTCCAGGTGAAAGCCAAAAGTCCAAGCGGACGATTAACCGGGACCTTCCACTGGAATTCACAGCCGGTGATCGATTAAAAAAAATTGGGAGTTTAGCAGTGGTCGTAGACAGGTCTAGAGATAGCATACAGAGAGGTTTGCTGATTTTGCTATTGCAGAACAAGACAGTTGAGGAGGGGTCAGTCTGATGATCTGGGCAGGTATTTGGACATATTGATTTGCATGTCTAGAATGGGTACTGTAAATGGGCAGAGGTATTTAAATGAAATCATCAGAATCCTCATTGTTCCCTAAATTAGACATCTTGATGATGAATTTATTTTTATGCATGATCTTGCTATAGGATTAACAGTGTAAGCAGTTTGTCAATAACATCACATGCATCTCTCTTGACCTGCTAGTTCTCCTGATCTGAATCCAACTGAAAAAGCTTTGGACATGTCGGGAAGAGTGATTCTCTCTCATTGTGCTGGAGGACACTTAAGGGCTTACTGGATGGCACTTCCCCAAATTGATGTGAACAGATGTATTGCAACCATTACCATTGCATTTAACTGTGTATTGATGCTGCTGGCGGTCACTTACTATTGATAACAATGAAACATTCAACAATGATATAATTCTTAAAAGATAATTTTTGATAGTGACATTTTCATTACTGTTTCACTACTTTTCCATATAATTATGCAGACGTAATGATGATTTGCTGTTCAGTTCGGTGTATTTTCATATTAGAAAAGCATTTACTTGTGAGTCTCCTAAAGTTATTATGCCATCATCTAGAAGAAAAAAAAGCAAAATAGTATATAGCTTGCTTCAAGCAGTTTGTTTTCTCTTAATATCTTATGGATATTTGTAATGCAGCTCTTTAACCTGCCTCCCTGCATTTTAATATCTCCAGCCACCAATGTAAAATCAACATCTCAGTTACTGCCATAAAATTGCTTTGGTGATCGAACCAGGCACTTCTTGGAAATTCATTTCAGTTATAGTTTCTGCATTCTCAGCCGAGTGGGAATCAGTACAATTCCTCAGTATATGCGATGAGTTTGTTCCGAGAAATCGTCACATAACACGAAGACGCATACAGTGAATTAATTTTAACATGCATTACATAAGGATAGGTGAAGTTTGAAAACAAAGAAAATAAGATTGAAATCTTGACAATGAGTCACACACAAATGTGCAGTACATCAATTAAAAGCTGACAGGTTTCAGTCAAATGATACTTATGCTGGTTCTGGCGAGTCGGGGAAAACTTTCTTGGTCTCTTTAAAGCCTGTGATTTTTGGCTTTTGTTAGAAAATGATTTAGATTTGCATGATGGACAGCATTCTTCTTCTTTCTCTACAGTTCTTTATAGCAGGCCAAAGAGAACTTTGACACTTATGTCAGTGTTAGGGATCATAATGGTGGATACCTATATTCAGCATACTTTTATTTAATTTGACTATCTCCCCCCCCCCCCCCCCCACCCCCCAACACTTTGCTGAGGTACAAGGTGGATGAGAATAAGAATATATTTCCCAATTCTTTTGAGACACCTTATTTGTTTTGCTTCCTATTATAGCTCTTTATGTCCATATTTTCCCCTATGATGTGTTTCTGTTTTCCAAAATTACAACCCTTGGTTAAAAGACTGCGGAGTAAAGAGAACATTGTTCACTGCACATCCTCTGTTAACCCTCAGTGTCGTCGTCACCGCGCTGAGGTACACCACAACAGCAACCATCCATAGGCTGGCCATCCTTGTACATCCTCGGTTAACCCTCAGTGTCGTCGTCACCGCGCTGAGGTACACCACAACAGCAACCATCCATAGGCTGGCCATTCATGTACATCCTCGGTTAACCCTCAGTGTCGTCATCACCGCGCTGAGGTACACCACAACAGCAACCATCCATAGGCTGGCCATTCATGTACATCCTCGGTTAACCCTCAGTGTCGTCGTCACCGTGCTGAGGTACACCACAACAGCAACCATCCATAGGCTGGCCATCCTTGTACATCCTCGGTTAACCCTCAGTGTCGTTGTCACCGCGCTGAGGTACACCACAACAGCAACCATCCATAGGCTGGCCATTCATGTACATCCTCGGTTAACCCTCAGTGTCGTCGTCACCGCGCTGAGGTACACCACAACAGCAACCAACCATCGGATGGCTAAGCCTAATTGTCCGACAAAACTAGATCATACGGATCAAAATCTGACCATCAAAATTTGTATTGAACTGAAAAAGACCGAATGTCCACACCCAAAGACCCCACTCACCCGAGTGTTGGGACAAAACTGATAACGATATGCCTGATGCAGGATGTAAAATTCTGTCGGGCTAACGGCTCGTCAAAGAAATCTAACGTGCGAGGAAAAAAAAAAAGAATGTACCTATCTGTGTGGTCACAAAAGTCCAAAACCCACGGGCTGCTCCCCGCTGACTTCCAGAGGGCACAGCCCCTGTTGAGCGGGAGGCCTGATACGGTTGTGAGGTTAAGCAGGCATGTGCAGGACGTGACGATTCCTTGGGTGAGCCCAGAACCAGAGCGCCATGTGCCGGCTCTGCATGCATGGAAGCCTCCTTGGATGGCGGGGAATGCCCATGATCTGCCCCTGCCTTCCCTTGAGGGCTAACTGTTCCACAGGGGGCTGCCCCAAAGGGGTACTCCGAGGGCAATACCTGCGACGAAGGAGACAAAGTGGACACCACACAAATCAGGCAACGTCTCGACCCACACAAAACAATGGCCACAGTCAACCTAGAAATAGGCCTGACGTCTTCCTTCGAAGTCGGAGTACAGCTGCCCACGAGGCAGGGAAATGAAAAACGGTTGTACACACAAAAATCAGGTCCAGGTGAAAGCCAAAAGTCCAAGCGGACGATTAACCGGGACCTTCCACTGGAATTCACAGCCGGTGATCGATTAAAAAAAATTGGGAGTTTAGCAGTGGTCGTAGACAGGTCTAGAGATAGCATACAGAGAGGTTTGCTGATTTTGCTATTGCAGAACAAGACAGTTGAGGAGGGGTCAGTCTGATGATCTGGGCAGGTATTTGGACATATTGATTTGCATGTCTAGAATGGGTACTGTAAATGGGCAGAGGTATTTAAATAAAATCATCAGAATCCTCATTGTTCCCCAAATTAGACATCTTGATGATGAATTTATTTTTATGCATGATCTTGCTATAGGATTAACAGTGTAAGCAGTTTGTCAATAACATCACATGCATCTCTCTTGACCTGCTAGTTCTCCTGATCTGAATCCAACTGAAAAAGCTTTGGACATGTCGGGAAGAGTGATTCTCTCTCATTGTGCTGGAGGACACTTAAGGGCTTACTGGATGGCACTTCCCCAAATTGATGTGAACAGATGTATTGCAACCATTACCATTGCATTTAACTGTGTATTGATGCTGCTGGCGGTCACTTACTATTGATAACAATGAAACATTCAACAATGATATAATTCTTAAAAGATAATTTTTGATAGTGACATTTTCATTACTGTTTCACTACTTTTCCATATAATTATGCAGATGTAATGATGATTTGCTGTTCAGTTCGGTGTATTTTCATGTTAGAAAAGCATTTACTTGTGAGTCTCCTAAAGTTATTATGCCATCATCTAGAAGAAAAAAAAGCAAAATAGTATATAGCTTGCTTCAAGCAGTTTGTTTTCTCTTAATATCTTATGGATATTTGTAATGCAGCTCTTTAACCTGCCTCCCTGCATTTTAATATCTCCAGCCACCAATGTAAAATCAACATCTCAGTTACTGCCATAAAATTGCTTTGGTGATCGAACCAGGCACTTCTTGGAAATTCATTTCAGTTATAGTTTCTGCATTCTCAGCCGAGTGGGAATCAGTACAATTCCTCAGTATATGCGATGAGTTTGTTCCGAGAAATCGTCACATAACACGAAGACGCATACAGTGAATTAATTTTAACATGCATTACATAAGGATAGGTGAAGTTTGAAAACAAAGAAAATAAGATTGAAATCTTGACAATGAGTCACACACAAATGTGCAGTACATCAATTAAAAGCTGACAGGTTTCAGTCAAATGATACTTATGCTGGTTCTGGCGAGTCGGGGAAAACTTTCTTGGTCTCTTTAAAGCCTGTGATTTTTGGCTTTTGTTAGAAAATGATTTAGATTTGCATGATGGACAGCATTCTTCTTCTTTCTCTACAGTTCTTTATAGCAGGCCAAAGAGAACTTTGACACTTATGTCAGTGTTAGGATCATAATGGTGGATACCTATATTCAGCATACTTTTATTTAATTTGACTATATCTCCCCCCCCCCCCCCCCCCCAACACTTTGCTGAGGTACAAGGTGGATGAGAATAAGAATATATTTCCCAATTCTTTTGAGACACCTTATTTGTTTTGCTTCCTATTATAGCTCTTTATGTCCATATTTTCCCCTATGATGTGTTTCTGTTTTCCTGTTAACCTTGGCTATTTATAACTTTTTTGTCTTATCCTTGCATCTTCTAGTCACCACTTTATGTTGTATTTAGTACTCCATGTTAGAAAGGTTTGGTTGTATTTTGTGCATATCCTTTCCATTTCCTTCACTGAACTTTCTAGTCATAGTTTATGTTCAGGAATGTCAGACTTTTGAGATTTTGTTGCCAGCAATTACATTTTATAAAATGTATACATTAAATTTTGACAGATATATTTGTTGTTTAACTATATATGAGACATGCAGGTTAAATAACATTCTGAATAACAATTTTGTTCTCACACAGAGAGGAACTTGACATTGACTTGAAAGACATTTACTACAAATTGAGATGTGTCCTCTTTCCTTTACCACAACTGGGTTTTAATCGCCACATCGTTCGAGAAAGTCCTGATTTTTGGGGTCCGCTGCTTGTTATCTTACTATATGCTATTATATCACTGTATGGACAATTCAGAGTAAGTTAATTTAATGATGAGTAAAATCTAACTTTACTTATATTGAATGAAGAGTTTGTCGATTTATATATCATAGTCTTCCTCCTACACAAAGTATTATTGGTGTGTATTTGTATTTTCATGTGTATGTACGTATAGAAACACAAAGCACATAAGATAGGGAGAGGTTATTTTTCTTTTTAAAGCTTCATAACAGTCTTATAAAGAAACAGTTTATTGAATGCCATGAAGGACTTTGGAATAGTGAAGAAGTTAATCACTATGACCAAACTGTGTTTGGAAGTCATAATATAGTAACATTTAAAGGCAGATAACATAATAACATCTGATTTAAAGCTGATAAATTTGCTGATAACAGACTGGTACATCAGGTTGTTTTTCATTTTCACCTTCCTTAGCTAGTTTATCAGCTCTTTCATTTCCGGAAACTCCACAGTAGGATAGTATCCATTGCATAGTTACCTTACACCGGCTGCCTAGTTTGGGGAGTAGTGTTCGTATACCAGGTCGTTTTCCAGATTGGAGTGCCTGTTCTGTGTACTTCTCTCACTGTCTGTCAGGGTTCATAGCCAAATTTACCAATCAATTTCAAGGCTTTTCAAGATCTCCTTAGTTTTTTTTTCAAGGTTGTCTCGGTGTAATAATGAAACAAGATTTGTGCCTTGTTCAAGGGTGTACCGAGCACACAATGTACTTCATTCGTGCCACACATGTTGATATACCAGCACAGATATCATTATCATCATGTAGCAGGTCCTTCGTCCTGAAAGAAACTCGGTCTCTCGCCAGCTCTCCCATCGCATGTACTTTCATACTCAAAGAGTCACTTATACCCTGTGCCCATCTTTGTGTTAGTCAGCGTCTGCGCTTGATATAGTGTTTGAAAATATTTTTTTTTTAGGCTTGGTGGTAGAGGGCAGCAAAATGAAGTCCTGTTTGTTCTGGACCTGGTACCTGAAAGGGGAGGTGGGGGGAGTCATACAGAGAGAGAGGAAGACATATGCTGAGGTAGACTGGGAGAGACAGGTAAAGATGGACAGGTGAAGGTAGAGGAAAGAAGTAAAAGAGTCTGGGGAAGGAGGAAAAAACATGACAGGGAGAGAGAGGGATGGAGACATGATGAGGGAAAGTGGGGAAGGGACAGCGAAAGACAGAGAGGGAGACAAATACAGAAAGAGGGAATGCAGATACAGAGATGGGCAGATGAAGAGAGAAGGAAGAAGAGAAAGAAACAGATATGGAAGGAGGAAAAATATGACAAAGAGAGTTGGAGGAAGGGAGACAGAGGAAGAGAGAAGGGACAGGGAGATGCAAGCAGAGAGAGAGATGTAGACATAAAAGAGAGAGGGACAGCATAGAGAGGCAAGCAGACAGAGGGAGAGAACCAAAGAAAGAAAAAAAGGCAGAGCAGGAGAATGGGAGGGAGGTATACAAAGAGGAAGTAATGAAGGGAGGCTAACAGACATAAACAAATGAGAGGGAGAGAGAGATGGGTAAGGAAGGCAGTGACAAACACAGATTAAGAGAGAAAGGCAGGAAGGGAGACAAGATAAGAGTAAAAAAAAATATGTAAGAATTGCTAACATATATAACAACACATCAAAGAAAAAAAAACCAGCCTTATGCTGAAACCCCACCCACTCCTCCAACACAATTTCAAGTGTACTGGACACAACCACTAGGAAAAGATGGTTATGAGGCAACAAAACAAATGTAGAAGAAGCAGAAAAAATAGGGGGGGGGGGGGGGGTGAGAGAGAGGAGGGGGTAAGGAAATCTAGAGAAAATAAGAAGACAGGATGGAGAGAGACAAAGAAGAGATGGGATAGGAGGAAGAGCAAGAGAGAACAGAGTAAGGAAAGGAAGAGAGGAAGGATGGAGAGATAAAGTAGAAGAGTGGAAGATCAAAGGAAAGAGAAGGGGTGAGAGAAGAGAGGTAAGACATGGTTGGAGAAAAAGGGGGGGGGGGGGGTATTAGTAAGAACACTGAGCGCCAAAAATAGAATTTGAAAATCTAAGTGAGGCCACTTTTCCGGTTCCTACCCTCTCCCAATGTGAATGTGGCCGTGGTCCATAAACAACAGTGCTAACCCTTACCGCCCCATGCTTGTCCCATCTGCGTGTGGCCAACAATAATTCAGTTTCTTACACAAGGCTGTTGACCAGAGAGCCAAGGTCATTTTATGAAGAAAAAAAAGTCCAGGGGATCCCAACCCACCACTGGTGGAAAATAGAGCAGGTTACCCACACACACAAAAATAGGTCAGGGCACCAATGGACAGTTTTATTTCTGATTGTCCAATTACAGAAAGGAGCGGGGAGAGGAGGTGGTGTAGGCTTAGATGGTAAGGGTGAGAGAGAGGAGAGAGGAGAGAAAGAGAGAATACAGTTTAAGAAAAGAAAGTGGGGACTGAGACAAGGAGAGAAAGAAGGGAGAAATAAATAAAATGAGATATAGAGGGAAGAAGGTAGCAGGAAGGGGTGCACCCCCCCCCCTCTCCCCTAGGTGTCATCAATGTGGAAGGAGAAGGGGGGTGGGGGAGACAGAACATGAGAGAGTAAAAAGAAAGATAGAGAGAAAGAGAAGAAGGTGAAGATCAGAGGGGAGGGTGAGAGACAGTGCAGGAGACGGGAAGGATGGAGCAATAGGTAGAAGTGAAAGAGGGAGGGAAGAGAGAGAGGGATGAGACAACAGAAAAACTAATCTCGGGGAATTACAATATTGATTGCCAAACACACTGTAAAGATAAACCAGGCCAAAAATAGAACTGGAAAATCCAGCTGACATCACATTGCTTAGCCCCACCACGACCGACTCTATTTATAAATACAGACGGACCCGAGCCCCACAATCTCCTATTGTAATCTTGTCTAGAAACCACGGCCATATAGCTATTTATACCTATAAACAAAGACACACAGCAGCAGCTTCTTCCCGCCCCATGCCACGCCGCGCTGTCTGCATGTATTCATGGGCTGCAACCAGCCCGCCCTTCCCTGGCCTTTAACAAGCCATTTCAGCTAAAAATAGCCGATAATCAGCTGCCCTCATACCTGAAACGACCGTAAACAAAAGTAGCCAAATGGCCCCAAAAAGCCAAATTGAAAAAAAAAAGCCTAACTGCCGAAAATCGCAGGACCTGATGATCTCATTGCAGCGGTCAAAATTCACGGCTTCTTAAGGTCAGAATGTTTTTTTTTTAAGGGCAAAATCACGGTTCCTGGTTAGAGAATCAATTTCACGGTCAGTTCAAGTGTTTCCTGGTCCACTATGAGCCCTGGTCTGTATAATGCTATTTTTAAATAAGCCCATTCTTTTTTAAACTGTATTGCTTGTTCTGGCATTTTTGAGTAATGTTCAGAGACTTTGATTGCATAGGAGGAAGACATTTTGCTCCTTTATTTTGGAGATTTTGATCATCTCTGATTTGTCATGTATGTTTCTTTCTTGGTTTTCTTCTACCAGTCATATGTATGACAGTCATGACTGCTTTATAATCAGTGTCTGCACACATGCTGGGTGTCGCTCTGGATTCAGTAATTTTTCTTGTTTTCTTATTTCTTGGTTAGGATGTAATCAGTAAGGTTTTTTTTTTTTTGGTCCCAGTTTTTCTACTTATGACTGTGTTAGACAAAAATTTGTTGGTTAGCGCAGAATTTAAGGTTTATAAGCAAGAGAATCAACTTCATTGCACTCTGTATAATCCCATAAGAATTTAAGGGTAGCCAGAAAAATTTATTTGTAAACATCGTCACAGAAAATCAGATAGATGCTAACTTACTTTTATTACATAATGACAGGTTGTTTCTTGGATCTTGACAATCTGGATATTTGGCTCTTTGATGGTTTTTATGCTCGCTAGAGTATTAGGAGGCGAGGTAAGAAAAATTTAATATCATCGATAGCCCCTCCCCAGTAAATTAAGAAAACTGGGGGGGGGGGGGGAGGTCCCAGCTTAGCAAACCCCCCCCCCCCCCCCCCACAACACCACCCAATAATTTTCCAAGGGGCTAAGATGCCTCCTTTAACTGTGTATATAAATTTTCTTTTAAAATATTTATTTATACATTTCTTATTATTTCATTTATATATTTATTTGCCATTCAGCACATTATTATCAATAATTTTTAAAATCTTTTGAACTTAAGGACTAAAATACTTAGGTAATGGTTTCTATCTGCACTGTATTAATGTTACCTTGTTACATATTACAATTTTCTTGAAGAAAGAAAATTCAGTGACAGAATCTGATCGTCAAACCACACATCCTTTTATTTAAATAAACACACATATGCTACATTATTCAAGTAATTTCCCAATGTGAGTTCCGTGTGGGAAAACAGGAATATACCCCATGTCTCCCAAACAAACGTCATAAGAGTCAACTAATAGGGGACTTCCTTTGAAGAGATGTTTCTTCTGCCTGAGAGGCAAGGAACCAACAATCTGCATTCAAATAACAGACCTAGTGTTGTGATGTGCACCTGACACTACATTCTGGAACAAGACTGAATTCAGAGGTGAATGAACACCAAAACTCTCCGCCAGAGTTTATAGCCAGTGAATGCGAAGAAGAAGTAGAGTATTTAAGTAACTAGCATTTATAAACATACACTTTAGCTTTATAAGTAAATACTTATATTTGATATGTGCTCTGGTTTTTTCATTGTCAGGTGTCATATTCGCAGTGTCTGGGTGTGATTGGCTACTCAGTGTTACCGCTGTTTGTTATTGCTTGCATTTTGCCTTTGGTTCGTTCGTTGCATTATCTTAGTATGGCCATCAAGGTAAGGTCTGAATTCTCTATAAATTGGATTATAGTTTTCCTAGCACCTGTGTAAACACATTCTATTACATTTGTTAGAGCTGAATAAGTCAGGTTCTGTTTTAATTAGTTTTTTAGGCTTCAGATTTATCGTAAAGTACCTGTATTGATCAGATGGAAACAGTTTGGTCTGTCCCTTACCTTTTATCTGTAGACGCATCTCTAAAACATCTGATTAGTTAAGTTAGTAATTAGTTGTAAACTCCAGTGGAAAGTTCTGGTTGTTCGTCTATAACTAAACTTTGGTCTTTTTCCTGCACTTGAGTTTTGCATGCACATTTGTTCCATAGATCTGGTTTAATTGTATGCAGACTGTTGGTTCCTTGTCTCTCGGGCAGATGCATGCCGATTTCAAAAGGCAACATCCTTAATAATAACCTTGTAAGGAATGCTTATTAGTGAGGCGGTGGGTCTGTTCTTCTTCCACCCAAAATAGGGCCTCAGAATCCACACAATCAGTTACTGGGGGGGGGGGGGGGGGGGGGGGGGGTTTGAACAGTAAGACAAACAGTCTCGGTTACATGTGTGCTGCCAGGCTAGATTTGTATTTAATAAAATAGAAAATATATTGGACCACAAAGATTTATAATGCAAGAGATAAAAAGGAAAACAGGAAAGAAGGAAAACAAATTGTGACAGCCTTTTGTGTGTGATAAGGTATCAGCTCATAAACTGATACATACTGTTGGAGATCACATAAGAGGTATATATTTCTAATGGAAAATAATTACAGTAGAATTGAAGTAGTGCATTCTCCATGTGGGTTCCGAGGCCCCGTTGTCAGGAAAAAATAGAACAGACCCACTGCCTCTCCAACAAGTGTGTTGTAAGAGTGGACTAATTAGAGGTTTCCTCCTAAATTGGAGTGCATCTGCCTGAGAGGCAAGGAACCAACAGTTTGCACACAACTACAATTGTTAAAATGGATGTGCACACATAACTGAAAATCTGGAACATGATTAAAGTCCAGAAGTTGATGAAAAACCAGACATTTCTGCTGGATTTTGCAGCCAGTAAACACAAATACAAAAAGAATTAGTACATAAATCAACATATTGTAAACTTGTAAACATTATTACATTTTAAAAGAACTGTGATACAAACTATGGCTTTATGAACTGAACAACTGGGCCTTAGCAGAGACCACTGACATTCTAACAGGGTACTTGAAGTCTAAACCTATTCACTATCTAGCATGAGAAGGGTGGCAGTAATGGCAGCTTTTCAGTCTTTGGAGAGTAGTACAGCCCAGCATGTTGTAACTGTTAACAGATTCACAGAACATACTTCAGAAAATTGAAAAGGGTGTCCTATGAGGAGCAGGGCTTGCATAACGTAGTAAAACTCAAATCAGGCATATAACATGGATTTTCTGCCCAGGCATTCTGATGTGTGGGATAGTGAGTAGATTGATTGACTGACTGCAGCTGCTGCTGCTTTGGGTGATACTTTTATGTTAAAGCGGATGTCGTGAAGGCTCTCTGAGATCAGGTGAACAATGCAGCAGAACAGAGAGAACAGCCACACCTCGACTTTAATTCAATGGGGAGTGAGTAATGGGCAGTTTTCAACACACCGGGGAAAACAGGTGGACTATTAATCAGGTTGCAGTAGCCACCTTCAGTACGGAAACTTTTTGTTGGCTACTGAGGAAACATCCAGAGCATGTGTAAAAATTCCCCGAGTGCAGTGACATCATTTCTTAATTGATTCATTCATCTGTATATATGTGCATGTCCAAGTTCTGCATGTTTTTAAAATCTTTGTTTTTAAAAATTAATTTTCTTTTCTTAAATACCACACAAAGAACAAAGGATAAATTTAACTTTGAAGGATGGACACCCTCAGCTTACAGGTAAAATTCTGTCACCATAACTGGATCTTAAAAACAAGAGGTGACCGGCAGTATGTATGAAATATTACAGGACATTTCCTAGTGATGCGTAGAAATTAGCTATAGAATAAACTAAATGCAATCTAGTGAATCCCTAAACAATTCTATGGTTGGGTCTGACCTCCCTAATAGGTCAGTAGGTAGGTCATTATAATTGGAACAAAGGATAAAATGTTCATTATATAAAGACCAGCAAACCAAGTTGACATAACATCTTATGACTAGAAGTGGACATACCATTTAATGTCTACCAGGTTTGTTATGAAGTTGCTTCTGTTAGCTAACTCTTTAAATGGGAAGTTAGACAATAAAAATCAGTACTTTTTGAGAAATTATCTTGAACCTGAAGAGCTGCATTTTTTAACATTATATACAGATTAAAAAACACACACAGTAAAGATGTCTCTGAAGAATTTAGATCATAAAGGTGGCTGGTTATTCAAACTGATGAACAATCAAAATTTTGGGTATAGCAGGAAGAAAATCTGAATACTGTAAGTTGTGACAGTGGGGATAATTGGCATGGGTGAGAAGCTGGGCACAAGCCAGGAGAGAATATGTTAGTTTTTACCATGTCAGTAAGGAACATTTGTATCAGAACAATCTGGGGTAACTGTTTTAAGCCATGTTAACCACATTTGCAAATTTTTTTTTTCTTTTTCAGTTTTTTGGCGTCCTATGGGCATCATTCAGTGCTGGATCTTTGTTGTGTGTTCAAGAATTGCAGCATAAAAAACCTCTACTTGTGTACCCAATTTTTTTGTTGTATGTATATTTTTTGTCATTATACACAGGTGCCTAACACATGAAGAACAACATCCTGTGCCTGTATTTTATTTTTTGGACCATCATGGTACCCATTTTAAATTAGATGAGAACAAATAAAGTAAACAACATGAATCATACCTACTGAAAAGCTCACCAGTTTCAATTTGAAAAGAAATTTGCTACACCCACTCGATTTGAAACATGTAATACACATAAGGATTTTTATTACATTTTTTCAATTGTGTGATCACAAATCTTTTGTAGTTTCTACAAATGGTATGTTTTTTGTCGCCTTTAAAGTTATTACCCAACTAACTAAACTAAACACAGCATTGTCTCCGCAGTGGAGGTTAGCTGCAGTACATCCGCTGCTGTGTCATGGTGAGGTTCAAGTCTCTCCCATGGTGTGACTATCATCCCACGGTCAGAAAGACATGTGACCACTTTTCCTAAACCACCCACCGTGGCAATTCAACCCTGGTAAACAATAAAGAAATGTATTGTGATTTAGCTAACCTGTAAGCTGTAGAGCTGCACAATATTCCCCAACATACACTGTTTAAAGCTTTTCCAAATAGCTTGTTCCTTTTTTTTTTTAAGCTGTGTTTAATACTAGTTACCATTTGGTGTTTTGTTCTATTTTTTATTTTGTTATTTTAATTGAACTTTAGCCAAAATTGTACATGACCCAATGAGATGACTTGAGTTTTATTTTCTGTTGACACTAAGATGGAATAATGATTACTTTTTGTGGGTTGAAATGCAAATATGGTGATATGTTCTTTGGTGTATTCTTTTTATCTTGTTGTTTTCTTTTGTGATTTAGTTCTAATGATTATATATAACGGCCAGATTAATGTTTCAGTGCTTTTCCTAACTCTTTCAGGCCCATGAATTTTGACAGACTTGGCCCACATTAATTTCCCTCTACAAAAATGGCAGAGTGGTGAGAGAAAAAAAAAGGCAACAGAGAATGTAACATACTTCTAATCCCTACAAAAGTATATTTTTTGTTAAAGAGAAATGACTGTACATTTTGAATATGATAAGTTTATGTTGAATACTGTTATAGTTATTAGGAAAGAACTTTTCAGCAGGTGTTAATTTCACAACAACATAATTTCACAAAAAAATTCTTCACTTGCCATGGTTTTGCAGCCACAAGAGCAGTGAATATCCAGATTTGAGAATAATACTTTAAAAGTTTGTTCAATTTCCTAACAATTCCAAAGTTATAATACGTTTCTGGGTTCATTTAGCACTCAGGAGCTCTTAGTTCTCGCAGAGCGCTGAGCAAAATTTCAGAGAAAAAATGGCAGAAAATGAGCCATTACAGACACACAATTTACTTTTTATATATTTTTTATATATATTTTTATATACAGAATGTAGCTGCAACGATTTCAATGTAGCTTAGTCATAGTATGGTTGTATCCATTTTTGGGGAGCACTTTCCTTCTCTTACACCTTAAATGTGATAGCAATGGAACATTCTCTGTGTAAACTCATCAGAATTGCTAGATCGCTCAGCTGCCGCTAGTGTAAATTCACCGTCTGAATTACTTTCCTAAAAGTCTAAATTTTCATTATCAGAACTAAAAACATCCGACTGAAACAATTTCTGAATTTCAGTCGCAGAAAAACGCATGTTGCGGCCTGTACTTGTGGTTAGAATGTGGTTGAAATCCCCAATTTATTTATTACTTATTGAGCTGAGAACATATTAATCTGTAGGAAAGTGAGACTTAAAAAAAACAAAATTAAATTTTTCACTTAGTATATGATATACAAGAGTTTAGTCTCAGTGGCCATGCTGTTTAATGCGCTCTCTGAAGTTTATGGATTCAGTTCAAGTGTGCAGTTTCAGGGAATCATCGTTTGAGTTGTGGAGTTATTGCTTTGAGCGATGCTTTTGGCAGGTGGCTTGATGTTTGAGGGGAGATATCAAGCTATATGGGATTGTTTGTTTTAGTATCCAGAAGCCATGAGATGTTAACCCTTAGGCTCGGTATTATGGATGTCGCAACCTTTCGGCCTCGATTCCATTTTAAATACCGCAAATCTGGGAGAAATGTGGCTTTTCTGCCCACCCCCGGGAGTGGACCACAAGGAGTTCGTCACCCGCTCACTGCACAATCCGGTTTAGCCAACTACGCTGGACTTGACTTAAGGTTACATAAACTAGAAAATGTGATATATTATCATAGCATACACATTTGTAGAAAGGATCAGAATGTGTGTAGCTTTTGTTTTAGACATTATTATACCTGAGTTGCCGCAGTAGCCCGGTCTAGCGTGACGGAGGTTCGTGAGGCGAGATCAGGAGATCTCAAGGTATCTGGCAGGGCACAGACGGAATGTCTGGATAATTTCCACAGTATTGTGCATCAGCCTGTATAATCTAGTGACTGTATATCTAAGTGATAGGTGTTACGTAATCATGAGCAGTGAATTTGCGGGAGCCGGCAATGATTGCCCGTAGCAACCACGGAACATAGGGTGGCAGTAGAAGTCTTTCAGAGCGTCCTGAATGTGCATGCATTGGTAGTGAGAACGACAGTAGCAGTATGCAGTTAGTATCTCGTGATGCCATCGATTGTCCTGATATCGAAATACAGTGAATAGACTTTGACGGTCAACATGTGTTAGGCGTCATTTATTACTGTTGAGCAGGAGTGGTGACATTATTTGAGTTATCCTAGATACTTGGCAAGTGTGCGATGAAACCTGTGCATCATACGCATCAGCAGTGATAAAAGTATAGTTGACATAAACCCTTGTGTTTTGTTGTGCACTTTAAACTTGAGCTTACTGGGCATAAGAAATGAGGAAGGGGCTAAATATCACCTATAATTTTAATGGATTGTCTAGTACAGTGGCTCTCAACCTTCCTAATGCTACAACCCCTTTAATACAGTTCCCTCATGTTGTGGCGACCCCCAGACAATTATTTTCCTTCATAACTTCAATGAAAATGTTTTCCGATCATCTGACTGAGGCAAAACTTATGAAAGGGTCATTCGACCCAAAAAAAGAGTTGTGACTGGCAGGTTGTGTACCGCTGGTCTAGTCTGTAATGGTGCATTGACAGAAATATTACATTTGTGTAGATATTGAACATTATTTATATATTATTTAGTGTATAATTTGTTTTATCATTTTTCTGTTTTGGATTAAACAAATGATAAAGAAGGTAATTCAAAAGCTGTCTCAGGTAGTTGGAAAGTATTGTGTCCAGTTATGCATTATCTCTTTTTCTAGTGAGGGAGAAGGGTGTGGGTGTGCATGCATATGCCGGTGGCTGCACAATTAAAGTAAGGTATAATTTCTTCAGTGTTCTCAATGCATTTGGATGGTTGGATAGTTGCATATCCTTTACAGGACGTTGCAGAACCAATCCTAAGAGCCCCTGGCTGTTGTGTGGTTTTTCTAGGCAAATTTACGTCCAGTGGTTTGCCATTGCTTTCTGGACGATCAGCTTTCTTGATACCACTGTCGAAACCAACGCAAGGCATGCATTTGGATATCTGCTGCATATAGTTGCAAAATATTATGTGGATTTTAATATGAAACAATGATAACCTAAGTTGGTCAATGAACATGGGCACATTACATTGGAGCGGTTGAGGATGTTTAAAAACTGGCAAAATATGACTGATTTGACAGTATTTGTACTTGGGATCACTTGAGTCCCGATTTGGACTAGATCCCAGGATGTAGAAAGGTCACAACCTAGTGTGTGAGAGCCAGGCTTCATTGACAGATAATTCCTATTCCCATGAGCATTGATTTATTAAGTGGATAAGTGCTCAGATTCTCTGTGTATCCCTCAGTGTGAGTTATTCAGTCCATAAGTGCTCAAAGCCTCTCAGTATATCCTTCTGTTTGCAGCAGCTGAAAAATCAGTTCTGTGATGGCTTACTGTTGTTTCCTACATAGCACTCATCTTGCTTCATACTTCTTGATTTGCTGGTATAGTCAAGATTACATTCAGTCGTAAACTCATTATGAGGGGAAGTCAATAAGTCACAAATGGTTATGGGATGGCAGGAAAATGTAGTTGGTGGTTTCTAAAGGTGTCAGCAACATCAAACTTTGTCTCCGTTCGTTAGGTGGCGCTAGGTATTGTATATGCATTCGCAAAACAGAAACAAAATGGCGACTACTTATGGAGTGTACCCTCAAAGACAACAAGCTTTTGTGCACTTTGTGTGTGGGGGGGGGGGGGGGGGGGAGGAGGAGGAGGGCTGCAAAGGACAATCATAAGGAAATGCTTCCTGCTTATACTAACAAATGTTTATCCCGTACAGCAGTGCATAGCTGGGTTTAAAAAAAAATTCTCTAAAACATTAAAACTGTTTTGACTCTGTAGCAGCTGAAATAGGCTGCTCACATGGTTCAGCATACAACACAATGCATCATGCGATTGAAATTTAAGAAAGTGTGCTCAAGGTGGGTACCAAACAATTGATGGACGAACACAAAATGAACCGATTAGGCCTGTCCTTGCAGCATCTCTGTCGATATGCAGATGGAGGAGAAGACATGCTGAACAGGATTATTACCGGGACGAATCATGGGTGCATCACTACCAGCCTGAATGAAAGTGTGCTTTAATGCAATGGAAACATCCTTCTTCGCCTTGTGTTAAAAAATACAAGGTAATGCCATCAGCAGGAAAGTGGATGCTGACAGTGTTCTGGGATTGTCAAGGAGTGCTTTTAACCAATTTAAAAAAAAAAAGACAATGTGAATGCTGATTCATACTGTAAAGTTCTATCGATGCTTCATGATGTAGTTCAAAGAAAATTAACCATCTAGGGTGGGAACATCCACCTTACAACAATGACTCAGCCCCTAGCAATTTTCACCTTTTTGGTCCGCTGAAAACCCACCTTGGCGGGAGACATTTTGTGAATGATGCAGAGTTAAATAAAGTGAAAATGTGGTTTATAAAACAGAGCATGTAGTTCTGTGTAGCAATTTTGGAAGGACTTATAAAACGATGGGATAATTGCATCAGTGTTGGTGGAA